ATGGGGAAAAGTGAAATCGAAAAGCCACCCAGTTCCAAAACCAAGAAAGAAAGGCTGCTGTTTCCGACAAAGGTGTTTATTTAAATTGCTCTGAGCCTTGAATTTAGCTTGGTCTCTATCTAATTGTTTGTCTATCTTTCTACAACATTCGAGTTTCGTATGTCCTACACTTACATTACTTTATAAGCTTACTAAGCTTACATCAACTCGGAATATCAGAGCATTGTCAAAGTTACGTTTTCAAATTTATTAATAATGATTTAGAATTTGAATAAACTTTGTATAATTATTTGCTGGAAAGCTATTTTAGAACTACGGTGTAACAACAGTCATGGAGTCTAGCCTTTTTCAAATGCATTTGAGTAAGAAATCTAAGACCCAAGTCAACTGCTTGCATACATGTAGTCACGTTTCTTTTCCAATGTCCTTTGAGGTTGTGATTCGACGCCTTCCTCCATCACTCACTGAAGAACAGCTGAAAGAAGAGCTTGGCGGCCTGCCAGAGCATGATTTTTTCTATTTTGTTGGTAGTGATATGAGGTATAAAAAGGTTTTATTTCCTTTTGTTCTGTTTCATTTTATCTGTTTGATATTGCCAGCAGAGTACAGACAAAAGTGACCACCAAACACTAGACTAAAATAATGGTACAGATATTTTTAGGCTGTAATAAGTAAAATAGGAATAAATTTTAACAATTTGTTTGCAGCTTTGGCCCCATATCTTTTTCAAGAGCTTACATCAATTTTAAAAACAGAGATGACATAATAACATTTCGAGATCAATTTGATGGTCATTGTTTTGTGGATAGCAGAGGTATGTTCAATACTTTCTTGTTTTCTAGGATATTTTTGTTCCAGAAAATTCTATACTGTCCTGAGAATATCCCCCTTCCCCCACTGCTCACCCCTCGAAGATTGTTTTTTAGGGGGGTTCGCAATTCCAGTTCAGTCTCATACTCTCCTTCAAACTTTTGGCCTTTGAGAACTCCTTTCCCGTCAGAATTTACCTTTTTTTTACCATGGGTGGATTTTGGAAAGCCCAGTGGCCTAATGTTTAGTTTGTTGGACTTCAAATCAAGCTGCTTGTCCCGGCCAGGGTCATTGTGTTGTATAAACAATAGCCTCCATTTGGTGTGAAAAGATGCTTGGAAGTCGTCCGTGGACATTATCTGTTCCGAGAAGCAAACAGTTTTTCTTGAGTGAACTTTGCGCTTTGAGGAACAGACAATGTCCACGGACAAATATCTGAGCATATTTTGGTACCAAATGGAGTCTATTGTTTTTATTATCCTTCAGATCTTTCTTGCAACGTGGGCAGTTTTTAAAATTGGGGAATATCACTCGGATATTCCCCAGTTTAAGCTGGGGAATATTCAGTCACATGACATGTTAAGACCAATAGTACACGAGTGAAAATATTTGATGGATAATAAGTTCTGTTATATTTAAATGGTTACTGATGAATTTTCTGCTGGGGGTAACCATGGGAAAAAGTAGCATCCCATCCAGCAGGGAGTAGACATGGTTCCTTATCCTAGAGAAACTCCAATAGGGACCACTTGGCTTGACACAGACTTTTATTCCAAACTTTATGGGTGGGGATGGATATTTTTTGGGAACCACATGATGACAAATAATGGTATTTTGCTCAAACCTTCCGATACTTGACTTTTTAAAATAATTATTTTGCTGCTAGGGGGAGAATATCCAGCTGTTGTGGAATATGCTCCTTATCAAGCAGTGCCTAAAAAGAAAGTCAAAAAAGATCCTAAGATTGGAACCATTCTTGAAGGTGTGTAACTCTACATTTTTAACCAAATTTTTGGCAATATTTTTTGTACAATTTCAGGTTGTTTGGGATTCTTTTTTCTCTACTTTTTTGCTGTGTGGGATTTTTTTGAGACTAGAAGGATTTTATTGGTTTCTTATGCTTCTATCCTTTATTTCATTGCTAGATCCTGACTACCTGGCATTCGTGGAATCTCTCAACAAAGCTGAAGAACCACCTCCAAGTATTGAAGCTCATTTAGAAGAGATTGAAGCAAAAAAATGTAAATACTTTTAAAATCCATTGCTCATAACTTTAAAAATTTTCAGCTCAGGCCATGGTTAAATGCTGAACTTAACATGAGCTGAACCTAATGCACATGAGCATAAGCTTTTGTTTATTGTTTATTTGTGTTAATTTTTGCTTAGTTATCTCTCACAAGGGAAAGAAATTGCTTCTGAGACAGCGTGGCATGTTTCCTGAGTGCAGGCTAGCAGAATAGTAGTTCCCCTCACAGCACACTCTGTTCTCCTCTTCCCACACATCTGCTTCACATCAGTGTACATTCCTTTCCCACTGTTTGTTATAGTTTTTCTTGGACCAGTCAGCACCTAGTTGTTGTATACACTGCACCAATCACAGTGTAGCTTACCATCTTGATGTTTTCTTTCTGGAAAAACCCGGACCGCCACTGATTGGTAGACATTTTAGGTGCAAACCTCTGCAAGGAAAAGAAAGAGGGACTGTGATTGGTTTATTTCAAGAACAGAATGTAAGTCAGTTTGAAGCAGCGGGGTGGGGACAGGATGGTCGCATGACTTGAGCCCGAGACTAGAAAAACAGGTTCTTTTTGTGGTTTGATCATTGTAGTGTAAATCATACTTAAATTGAGTTTTTCTGATTCCTAGCTTCATCTGAGTCAACCAAGACGAGTACACCATTACTGGAGTATTTGAAAATGAAGAGGAGTTCACGTGGCAGACCTGTGTCTTCTGTAAGTGCTGTTGATGAATATATCTCTAGGTTTAGTCATAGTGATGGTAGAATCTGATCAGAAAGAAGTGTCCTGGCCTAATGGTTAGTGTACAGTTAGACATCTTATCCAGCTAGAGATCTCAGGTTTGAGCAGCTGAGAGTGCAAAATATTTACACCCGAATCGTACCTTTTTGGTATGCTTCAGCGGATTTCACTCGAGTTGGTCAAGCCATGGCTTGTATTTTAGTGAGACATGGTCAAGCTGAAATACCCATAGCGAGACCTAGAGTCTTGTAATCAGATATGCTGCTGAAGTGTACCAAAAAGGTACATTATTATTATGTCAAGTGACTGTCATGATATTGTAGCCATATCAGGTCAGTGACTTGATATCGCAACGATATCAGGACAGTAATTACTGCCTCTGATTGGCTAATATCATACCTCCAGTAATGCATGCAAATGGTTTTAGCCACCTCTGTTTTGCACGAGGAGGCAATTTTGCAAGTTGCCTATAAAAACAACATAAAACAACCTGCCTATTTTTTCTTTGTTGTTGTTGTTGTTTTTTTTTCCTGATCATAGCGTGGTACACCAGAGAAAAAGAGAAGACCTGACAGGGAGGAACTCTCAAAGGTAAACGTTCTCTTGCTATGTTTTATAATTTGCAAGCTGTTAGACAGTTCCGTAGTGATTAACTCATGTTAAAGCTGTTAGCTTTGTTACTCAGAACTTCAGTAGGTGTCAAACAGGAGCTCGCTGTTCTAGCAAGCGTATTTGTGCAGTCCGTGTCCCGCCCCGCACTATCATCCCATCCCGCGACACCATCGAAGTTCGTGCCGGAAGTTTGAATTGCAAACGAGACTAGAAGTTTAATATTATGCCACAACTAGCAATTATAGTATTAACAGACCATGATAGGAAAAATAAGATAGTTTGAAGACTGGAAGGTCAACGTGTAAAGAAAAACGCTATATATTTAGCCTGACTTTACTTTATTGTTTTGTTTAGTCGCCAAAGAAATCTTCTGCCTCAAGTTTGTCTTCCAACAAAGATTCAGGTGCTAAAAGCACATCAAGCCATCCTCCCAAGGAGGAAAAACCTAAAGACGAGTAAGATTAACTGTTGTTATGCGCCGTCCACACTGCGTCGGAGGAATTTGAAAACAGAGGTTTTACGCTGAAAACGCATCAGATGTTTTCCGTTCACACTGCGCCGGAGGAATTTGAAAACAGAGGTTTCGCGCTGAAAACGCATCAGATGTTTTCCGTTCACACTGCGTCGGAGGAATTTGAAAACAGAGGTTTCGCGCTGAAAACGCATCAGATGTTTTCCGTTCACACTGCGCCGGAGGAATTTAAAAGCGGAGGTCTCACTCTGAAAACGCATCAAATGTTTTCCGTCCGCTTTAGTGACTACGTCTGAGATCTTTTAAAACGCAAAAATCACTGGTCATTCTGGATTTGTGTTTGCGGAAAACTCTGTCAGGGAAGTCACATGATTATCGTGACGTCATCGTTTTCGAAAATCTCCGTTTTCAAAATGTGTTCCGTCGATCGACACGAAAAAAAATCCGGCGTTTTAATTCCTCTGGTTTGAAGCGCGTTTTCGAAGAGCTTCGTGTCCGTGACGGATTAGTGTAGACGGTAGGCCAAACCGTAGAAATAAAGCTGCGTTTTCAAATTCCTCTGGTTTGAAGAGCGTTTTCGAAAAGCTCCGTTTTCGTGACGGATTAGTGTGGACGGTAGGCCTAACCTTAGAAATAAAGCTGCGTTTTCAGACTGATTCCTCTGACGAGATGTGGACGCCGCCTTAGATCTGTACTGTGTTAATAAAACAAAATGTAAAATATGAACATAAGTAATAGGTTATTATATCAGAGGTTAGTTTATAAGATAAAAATATATAACAGTTGTGAAAGTGTTAGTCTCATCGAATGCCAACTTTGAAAACAAAGAAGGCTCGAAGTAAACCAATAACTGTTAATTAATTTATTTATTTTTCGAAATATTTTATCCTCCAAGGAGGAAAGATGCAAAAAGTAAAGAAGAAAGTCGCAGAAAAGATGAGATGGATAGAAAAGGCAGCAAGGACTCAAAGGTATAGCACTTGGAGACGAAATATTATAATTGTTTGATGTAAGGACAACTGTCCTGTGTCGCAGGCCGTAAACAATTGTTTTTATGATGGTTGCTTTTCAGACTTCTCCACCTTCGAAGGACAAATCAGATTCAAAATTGCTATCCAAAGGAAAAGAAGAAAAGGTCGGTGATAACTGAATATTTCTTGTTCTCGTTTTTCGTGTGATAAAATCGTGACTTTTCGTTTGTTCTTTTCTTTCCTTGTATCCTAGGGTCGACCTGATTCGGGAAGATTCGGAAGGCGCCCCGACAGCCGACGTTCCGACGAGCGACGTCCGGAAGACAGGCGAAACACTAATCGGAGAGAACGAAGGGATGCTCCGGAAAGTTCTGGAAGTGATCGAGGACGAGATGATCGTTTTCGGAAAGACGGCGGGAGTGACACGAGTGGCCGACGAGACCGAAGACCCGACAGTCGACGAGATTCGCGACCAACTCGAGAATCCGAAAACAAGCCGAAAGACCGAGAAACCTTGCCGAAAGCAGCCGATTCTGACAAAGGTGTAAAACGCGGTAAAGAGCAAGACAAGGAGCACGTGAGCGACTCGGCGAAGGAAAGCGAAAAGAAGGCTAGAGACAGCGGAGAGGTTGGTGATAACACCCCTCCAGGAGAGGAAGCCAAGGGAACTTCAAAGGAGGAGAAAAGTCGAAGTGAAGAAGAAGCGATCAAACAGCGGCGACTACGAAACAAGGTAAAAAGCAAAAACATGATAAATGGTAGTCCCTTTTGAGCCGCGTTTTGGCTCGTCACTTTTAAATACGTGATGTCGCAAAAGCGCTGTGTGCCTATGTGTTAGAGACTTAGAGCATTAAACAACAACAAAAAATGGTTATTTGCGGGTGGTTTTAAAGGTAGGAGAAGGGGAGGAATCTTGAGCGCCGTAAAAGAATGAAAAATGAAGTTGTTATCAGTGGAAAGCCTGCACTTTTGTTGTGCAGGCGGAATTGACTTTTGATCAGAAATGTCTCCCAGTTAGACATTTTACCGTAAGGAGATTTTTCATAGCGAGTAATGAACTGTAAGAACGCCTATAATTTTCTCCAGTAAGGGTAAATGAATAACCTTCAGTGTAGGCGATTTAGATGGGTGAGCGCCACCCTGGGTGCCTGTTGTAATACTGAACCACTCGGAATAATTAAGCTACACATGCCTGCAGAATGTGTGAACCGCTAGAGATATTTAAACTATTAATTATTCAATTTCAGTGGAGTTTAACCGTCGTTCGGTTTAAACGTAAACTTAGTGTCAATCGCTTCGCGTTCGATAGCCAGTGCCAGAGGCTTGTTTTCGTCGTAAAGCCGCGCACTGATAGCGGCTTCGCCACGAAAGAAAAAGTCAAAAACCCTCTGGCACCCAGGGTAGGTGAGCGCTGAATATTATTGTTTGTAATTCTGTGTCTGGTCGCCCTCTCGGAGTCACCAAACGTAGTATTGTCACTTTTTTTGCACTCACCCCAAACCTACCCTGTTTTTCGAGCACTCGCTCGTTCAGACTCCTTTATTGCCGACTTAAAAATAAACTACTTGTTGTGATTCCTCGTAGGATCGACCTGACCGAGCTATTTACCAGCCAAGATCAGTTTCACGGGGAGGTTCAAAAGCAGACTCGCCAAAAACAAGTGAAACTACAGGTACTTATTAAACTGGATAGCCAACAAGCGCGAGTGGAATGATTGTTTTATTAAAAAAAGCCCGCAACATATAGAAAATAACAACACAGAGCATGGTATAATGGCCTATGGAAACTCTTGAATTGCATTATCCAAGGATCACATTTTTATTAAAAGGGTTTATATAACAAGGGGTTATAAGTAATAATATAACCTCCTGTCTATACAGGCCCAGAGCATTACACCTAGGCAATGAGAAAGTTTTCAAATACAGTACTGCTCAAAACCAAAAGCCCATTAGAGATTTATGGGATTCAGTCAAAATGTTTAATCAAAGCGTCTTCCTTACAATATCTCATGAGAGCCGTGACAAGTAAGAGACAAACTGAATGAACCTAAATTTTTGCGAGATTCGTATGTTGAATATAAATTCATTTTTTAATCGACGTTGTCCTTGGCGTTGCCGTCGTTGTTTCTTTTCGACAACCGACGTAGCATTCCAATACTTCAAAAATGCGCCTCTGTTGTCCTGTTGTGATATACCTGAGGTTTTCGTTTTCGTTTCTTGCAGAAAGAGAACGGAGCAAAGACCCGAAGGGTAGGGAGAAGAATCGTGAACCAGAACGTGATACGAGAAAAACTCGTGACGAAAAACCGCGTGATCGATATCGCGACGATCGAAGAGAGCGTGACAGGGATCGAAGAACTGACCGTGAAAAGGATCGTGAACGCGAGCGCCCGCGAGAAAAGACACGTGATCGTGAACCAGAGAGTGACAGAAGGCGTGACATTGAGCGCGCAAATGAAGAACGAGAGGATAAAAGCAAAGCTGAAAAATGCGAGAGCGAACGTAATGAGACGAAGAAAACAACTTGTGAATGACACTCCAGTCTGGATATTAGTGCAAAAACAGCAAGGCGATCGTTCATTTTTCTTGTGAAAAATATTTTCTTCGCGACCGTAAACCACAAAGCGGTTTTTATCCCGCTTATCAAGAGCATCTTTTGGACTCATCGTTGAAGAAACGTTTTCTGTTTATAAACTGAATTAAAAAGTTCAAATAAAACCATTCGAGAAACAAAGGGAAATGCGTTCTTGCCTCAAAGCAGTCGGGGCTGTTATGATTTTTTTCCCGTTTGTTCGTTGTGATAAAACTGAATTAAATCCACTATACGCCGCGAAAATATACCCCCATAAGAGAAAATGAATGGTCTCTTGGCCCCCATCAAGGCCTTAAAACAGCGTTTTCCCGAAGCACCCACGGTTCATATTGACATGTCCATATGAGCTGCAAAGAACCCCTGTCCGTTAGGGCCGACCTGCTATTGATGATTTTTTAGGCGCTCGGAGATAAGGCCGAACCGCAGTTCATTTTCGTCCCCATAGCCCTTATAGCTTCTCTTAGCCGGTAGGATCTGGGCACGAACGAAGGGACAGTGTTGCATGCTGCTGTTTCAGGGCTCTTCAATGATTCTTTATTAATGTGGAATGTCATTTTCTAGGAGTGAGCGCTTCGCAGAGTTCTAAGTCTTTGTAAGGATTTTAAACGAAATAATTCATCTTCAAAGAGCGGCATGCCTACAATCTCAAATGGCTGAAAATCACGAGCGTGATTTTAGCTTTGTCACGCGCCGCTATTACCCAAATTCCAAATACACTGGTTTCCAAACGAACGAAGCTAAGGAGCTGAAAAGTTGCAAAAAGGATATGAATTCAGCGCCTCTTTATATGTCTGATGACTTTGATGAAGGATTTTAAAGTCAACCTCGTTTAGAACGAGGTGGGTAAACACTTTAGTTGATGACATCACGTCACCACATGAAACGCTCGTTTAGGTTCGTCACGTAACGCTCGTTACAGAAAAGAAGTCGGCCATAGTCGGGGCATGCACTGCGGCGAACATGGCAAACTGTTGTCTAATTTTCACAGGGTTTCTCGCGATCTTGGTCGCCATTATCGTTGGCATGTACTTCAATCGAACTATACCAGAAGGAATGCCTAACGATCAGTTAACCGGTCTGCGAGTGCTGAGTGTCGCCTCGGATATCGTTCAATTTCTGGTAAGTGGACTAACACAGTTGGCTGAACAGAATACGCTGAGTAATGTAGATGTGAAGTAAAATGCCTCACCAGCGGAACATGATAAAAACTGAAATATCTTATCTTGAATTTGTATTGTTTTATTGTTGTACTAATTCATAGCGGTACTTTATTTGACCTCGAGCAACACCGGCCTAATGAGTTGAGCCGCAGAAAAAACTTAAAATCTAGCTAAAGGGAATCAAACCTGAGTCCCAGGTAATCAGGTTTTCATATGAATACTTCCGAATTCTCCCAAACTTTGTCAAGCTTTCGCATCAGCCTAGCTATGGAAACAAGACGCAGCCATTTTGTACAGTCGCGTACTTCTCCACAACAACTGGGGACAGAGGAAAGTGGTTATTGTAGAGAGTTGGCCGTTACTGCCCTCCCCAACTCTTGATACCACAGTTTTAGTCATAAAGCCACTGGATGTAGATTAGGGGTTGGGGGGAGGTGGGCTGGGAACATCAAGTTCCCGCTATTTTCCTGAAAATTTCGGAGTTAAATATTATCCTAGTTGGCTTGATTTTATCCTGATTTTTATTTCAAGGGCTATACAGCTTCACTGTTTAGGATTGGTGACTCACCAATGGAAAATGAGAAAACAATGCAGGGCTGGGCAATTGCACTGAAAACTGCCACTAAAAAAGATCATGATCATGAAAGGTTCTTGGAAATCAGAGATGAAAAGATAGCCAACATTCCTGTTCGTATTTACAAACCAAAGAAAATTGATGCAGGCAAGAAATCAACTGGGCTTGTTTTTCTGCACGGTGGTGGATGGACTATTGGAACTGTTGGTGGGTTACAAATCATATTATAAATAAATAATAAATAAAT